TCCTGGTACTCATGCAGATCGCGTAGGGTGGCAGCTCAGTGCGGACCAGACTTACGTCTTTCGAGTTAAACCCTTGCAAGACTCGTATGAGCATTTTGAGAATCGATCTCTTCTCAAAGGGCATGTGGAAGTTGAGTGGGAGCAAGATTCAAACTTCTTCGTGATTCCTGAACTTCGTGGGTTGGAAGTGCGCGATGAAGAAGCGAAGCTGATACGTGTGTACTCAGCTAGCTTCAATTGGGTCGCATTATACCCCATGTTTACTGCTCTACGTCACTTGATCAGTTCCAGCCCTGGCCGTATGAAATCGGCATGTGAGATTTCGAGAAAGATACAGGCCAATCTTGAGTTGCAGGTTCCCAGCTCTTTGATGCAAAGCACTGCGGACTATCTGATCAGCCTGTTAGGTCTTCCTCCCCACTCTGTCAATTCGACGGCACTGAAGTATGTCTCTCAGGCAATTGCAGCAGCTGACCAAGCCGCAAACATTCACTCTGTGGAGCTTCGTTCTTTGTCGAGTTCGTGCAAGTGCTTGAGCATCCACTTCACCCACTTTGAGAGGACCATGATCAGGTCGCATACTTCTGCAGCAGGGATTGCTCGTTCGCCTGTTGCACACAACACAACAGTGGCAGCGGCTGCATCAATCCTCCTTGAGGGAACGATCCGACCATCGTATTGGGATGCTAGTGACAGCAAGTGGTCCCCACCAATTTCCTTCTATGCTAGGGCTCACACTTCAGATGCAGAACAAGCACAAGAGGCAGCGGCCAAGTACGGTGGCATTCTGAGTGAGCGTCCGGTGTGCATTTTCGGACATGCATTTAATCGTCAAGGATCCCTCACGCCTCCCCACTCAAGAATCCCCATGGGAGGGGTTGAAGGTGACCATTCCTGCAGTTACATTCGTGACGTTGCCCGTGCCAAAGATGGCACATGGGTCTTTCGCTCTTCATGTTTCATCCCGGAAGCGCTTCTTGTTTTTTGGAGGGTCTGAGTGCAGCATGCTGCTTTGACCAGCCACGTTCTCAAGTCTCTTCCGTTGTCAACTGCTTTGCACGCATACATGTGTCGAAAACATGCCAGTTAAGATTGCGAGCTGTGCCAGCAAGGGACGTGCAAGTATGTTGCAAGGGACGTGCAAGTGTACTGCAAGTGAAGTGTCAGCGGTAGTGCAAGGGTGTGCGTCGGAAGTGCAAGAGAGGAGCAAGTGTGATGCAAGAGTTGTGCAAGCGATGTGCAAGTGCTGCAGTTTGGGAACAACTTGAGCAGGTTTGTTCACCTACGGAGCCTTTTGATTCGAAGTGTCGTTAGCGATCCCGTGCACTCAGATTTGTCGATAGTTCTGAAACCATGGCATGGAATGGTCAGTGGGACACCAACACAGGGTACGGGAGGTCCCAACAATCGTGGGGTCAGCATCGCTATCAGCCGTATAGCTCGGGAAGTTGGACTGATCCCAACCTCTCCAATTCTGCCCCTGCTAGTCAGCCACCTCCCCTACCTCCGCCTCCACTTTCTTCGGCACCTTCATCATCGCCGTCTACTCCCATGCCACTTCATCAAGGTCCTGGTCTTGTTCCTGCACTACCGAATGGATGGGCGTCAGATCGTGATCATTATGACTCAACGGTGCTTCATGGGTTGTCCTTTCGTAAGTCCATCGAAGCCACCCCGTGGTCGCGAAAGAAAGGGATCGCAGGAAAAGATCCACTCAGCATTCCTGTTCAGGAATTCCTGTTTCATGGAGTTTCAGATTGGCGTCTTCGAGCATTGAGTCATGGCAAGTTTTTCAGTGTTGTGCCAGTTGCTACGGTTGCTGAAGCAGTGTTCATGTCGCAAGTGACGAAGAACCTTCGAGATCGCAAAGTTGACATCGATGCAGTTGCTACGCAACTCTTTCAGGCCGCTAATCCATCTACAATCATTCCCAACAAGAACACGGATTGTGCAGCTCTGTTTCAGCCGCTGGTTGACAAGATCGTTCAGCTCATGTTTGACAACATGCCGGTGCCTGCAGGCGTCGACCAATCTCAGAAGTTTCTTCAAGTTTCGGAAGAGCTCAATCGCCGTCGTGAACAGTTACAAGCCGCAGGACTTCCCGTTACCCCCACGAAACCCGCTTTGAAAACACAGCTCCCGGTTGCCTCGCAATCTAGTGCTCCGTGTCTACAATCCGGGACACCACCGAAGACTTGGGAGAGTGACCTCAAGCGTAAGATCGACAGTGTTCCTGCCGAAGCCCTGAACGATCACAAAGCCCGACTAAAGGGATCAGGAGAGGGGGACGTCGACAAGTGGATCCAGAGCTTCAAACGACCCCTAGGCAAGCGTTTTGCCGAATTTCAAGAGCACATTGTGTCTGTCTCCAAGCTTGTGCAGATCAACTATGGAGGCAAGGAGAAAGCCAAACTGCAAGAACTTGCAGTCAAATTCGGGATCTCGGCGACTTTTGCATCTAGGATGGGCATCAAGAGTCTCTCTACGTGCATTGCAGCGG